GTTTAATTATACGAGTAATTTAATATCATAAACTCGGAAAATATTTATAAAGAAATCATGGAATCGTAATATGTTCAAGCCAGTTGAAATTTTCGACGGAATTCGTGTATCTCCTGGATCTTTACGGATTTTTTACGGTGGATTTTGCGATAGGATCTTCTGGGTGAACACCATTAGAGAGTGACATAAAACCTCTCGATATGGTTGGTGAATTCACTATAAAATTATTGCTTGGGGAAATAATACGTGAAGCATGTGATGTTATTGTTCCGTTTTAAAAATTATTCAAATTGTTAATTTATAAACATAATTTATAGTAATATCTGGTTTTTGCGAGTATCGCATCGGTTACCAAAGCAGGCTCAAACGAAGTCTGGACTGCATAAGTTATGGAAGTAAATTTTAAGAAAGAAATCTTTCGCAGTTGAATTTTTAATTTCTTTTGTTGGATGGATTCCTGTTTTAAGTATCTTAGTTATGATCGATTGTTTACCACAAAACAAGGAGTTAATGACTCAATATAATTTTTTTGTTTCTGAATACCAACAAATTAAGGTCTACGGTTTTTCCGTTCTGTGCCTTGATTTTGACGGTATAGTTGTACTAAAAATTTTATTATAGAAATAGTTATTGCTAAGATGCGATTAGTCAAAAACGTCTTCAAGTTGGCTCTGCAAGGTATATTTTCTAAATTGATTCTAAAAAAATTGGTCGAAAGTTATTTCGACAGCACTTCGCTGGTCCCTGAACTGCAGCCCAACAAACAAATCCAGTTTTTTTGAAAAATTATAAAAAATCGTTGCAATTTTTATTTTTTGATAATCTCTATTAAGTAAAATCGAAAAGTCAAAAATTTTAGAACTCGAAAAATTGAAAAATCGAAATCCGAAATATATGTATATAAATTAAAAAATCGATAAATTAAATATCCAAAATTGAAAAATGCAAAAAACGAAAAATTCCTAAAATTGAAATGTTGAAAAATACAGAAATCGAAAAGTTGAAAAATCGGGAATCAAAAAATGGCAAATTGAAAAACTGAAAAATCGAAACATAAAAAGATCGAGAAATCGAGAAACGGAAAAGTCGAGAAGGCGAAAAAACAAAAAATCGGGAAATCGAAATAGCTTTAAATAGAAAAATCGAAAAATTTAAAATTGGAAAATCGAAAAATTAAAAATTGAAAAATTTTAAATTGAAAAATATAATGTACTTCTATAAATCAAAAATCCAAAAATATGGAAATCGAACAAGCGAAAAATTAAAAAATTAGAAAATCTAGAAATGGAAACGTCAAATTGAAAAGTTGAAAACAGTGATATGTATCTCTATTTTGGTTTCAATTAAAAATAAGGATTGTGAAAATCAAATTTTTAGGTCGAAACTAAACGAAAAATTGAAAAATCGAATAACTGAAAAATCAAAAAACTTGAAACCGAGAAATCGCAGAATCCAAGATTTAAAAAATCTACATAATGAAAAATTCCAAATATAAAATGATGGAAAATTGGTAAATGGAAAAATTGGAAAATCCAAACATAGAAAAACCGAAAACAGAAAAATTGAAAAATCCATAAATTGAAAAAGTCCAAAAAATGAAATGCTGAAAAATTGAGAAATTGAAAATTGAAAAATTGAAACACTGCGAAATCAAAAGTCGAAAGAGAAATCAAAAAACCCGAAAAATCAAGAAATCAAAAATTCAAAAAATCAAAAAACTAAAAATTGAAAAATTGAGACATTCACCAATTGAATAATTGAAATATCACAATCTCGATTAATCTAGAAACTGAAAAATTTTAAAACCGAAAAATGGAAAAATAAAAAATTTAAAAAATCGAAAGACTGAACAATCGAAATCTAGAAAGATATAATCTAAAATTTAAAAAATTAAATAATTGAAAAATCGAAAAACCGAAAAATCAAAAAAGACGAGAAATCCCAAAATTCAAAACTTAATAAATCAAAAAAGAAAAATCAAAAAATTAAAATTAAAAAACTGAAAAATCGAAAAATTAAAAAATCCTAAAACTTGAAAAACTTCAAAAATTGGAAAACTGAAAAATCGAAACATCGAAAAATCGAGAAATGGAAAAGTCGAGAAGACGAAAAATCGAGAAATCGAAATAGCATTAAATAGAAAAATCGAAAAATTAAAAATTGAATAAATGATGAATTTTAAATTTGAAACAATATATAAAAAAATCGAAAAATCGGGAAATTGAATCGAAAAACTGAAAAATTTACATATTGAAAAATTCCAAATATAAAATGATGAAAAATTGATAAATGGAAAAATTGGAAAATCCAAACATCGAAAAACCAAAAATTGAAAAATCTAAATTTTAAAAAATCTAAAAATAAAAATTTGGAAATATTGAAAAAGTCCCAAAATTGAAATGTTGAAAAATTGGTAGATGGAAAAATTGGAAAATCGAAACATTAGAAAATCGAAAATTTGGAAATACATATTGAAAAATTCGAAAAATCGAAAATTTGGAAAATTGAAACATTGCGAAATCGAAAGTCGAAAGAGAAGTCGAAAAATCCTAAAGAACAAGAAATGAAAATAGCATAAAATCGGAAAATTCGAAAATTAAAAATCCAAAAATTGAAAAATTTGGACACTGAGCAATTGAAAAATTGAAATATCGAACCCTCGATTAATCCAGAAAATCAAAAATTTTAAAAATCGAAGAATGGAAAAACAGTAAAGTCTAAAACCCAGAAGTCGAAAAATCGAAAGATCAAAAAAGTGAAAAATCCAAACTTGAAAAATTCGAAGAATTGAAAAATTGAAAAATCGAAGCACTGAAAAATCGAAAAATTAACATGTCTAAAAATTGAAAAATCGAGAAATCGAAACATCAAAAATTGAGGAATTGAAATATTGAAAAATTCCAAGTCTGAAGTATCGTAAAACTGAGTAATCGAAAAATCAGGAAATTAAAAATCGAAAAAATCAAAAAACTGAAAATTCTAAAATTTTGAAATTCGCAAAATGAAAAGAACTGAAAAATTGAGGAATCAAAAAAGCTAAAATTTAAAAAATTGAAGAATCGAAAAATTGAGGAATCAGAAGACTAAAAAATTCTGAAAGTGATATGTAAAACAAGAAACTGAGAAAACGAAAAACTGAAAAATCGAAGAAAAATTGGATAATCAAAATAGTAATCGAAAATTGAAAAATTGAAGAATCGAAATATGTACTGAAAAATTCTGTAGGTAACGAAAGTATGGAAAAATTAAGTAATCGAAAAATTGAAAATCGAAGACAATTTGAAGAACCGAAAAATTTAAAGATGGAAAAATCGAAGTCCAAACAGCACATACATATTTAAAACAAATAGAATAACTGAAAAATCGAAAAATTGAAAGACTGAAATCGAGACATCGGGAAATCGAAACATCGATATGTCAGGAAAATCGAGAAATGGAAAAATCTAAATGTCTAAAAGTCAAAAAATGAAAAAATCGAAGTCTAAAAATCGATCAATACAGAAATCGAAAAATCGAGAATTTAAAAAAGAAAGAAATCGAAATTGATAAAAAATTGAAAAATCCCTAAACTGAAGTGTCGAAAAAATCAAGATAGAAGATAGATTCATAAACCACAAGTGCAGGAGTATATTATTTCATATAATTTTTGATGCTAATTATGCAATATAATGAGCGGACATCATCAAATTGTTGGTGGAATGATCAACCAAATTTTGGTTAGCGTTTTACCATTTACATGATATTTCTAATATATGTACAAAATTTGACAACACTCGATCTAGCAGTTCCGGAGATTACGTGTCTGCTAAAAATCGACAAAGACGCCAAACAGGCAGACAGACAGACGGAAACGGGAGATTATTTTTTTCGTACTCTAGGGGTCATGAAACGTCGAGAAAACATGAAACTGGCAATAGACAAAGTGTACAAAAATTGTAAAGTGCTCAAAACATGAAATTAATTCACTTTAAGTACATACACATGTACAAAACAGATTTTACAGTTTCTACTTACTTTTATCATCCGCCTGTAAAACCATGATCGATTATGTACTTTGCTGCTAAGCGTGGGAATTTATCATGACGGAAAATGATCATGAGTGTCAATTTTATCATTAGTGTGACGATATTTTGATTGTTTCGTACGTATCTCTGATTAGGTATTTTTTTCAGAGAATTTTTTCTATCTCCAACTTCCGGGAAATGTAGCAACATCCATCATAGTGAGTGACCGATAGCCACACAGATGTAACTCTTTGAACTTTCGACGTAGATCATGAAATCAGGGACAAATCTCGAATGTCCAAAAAACAGGCCAAGTGTTCTACAAATTATCTTCTTCGTTACATATATGTATCAAACATTTTTTACGTCGGTGACACAAAAAATTATCAACTTTCTATTGTATTATTTTATCGTAATGTCACCCAAATTGGCGTGTGGCATTTCTATTGTGCCGACATCCGTTATATACTTAACAATTTTTGTGACGACAGTTGTAGCTGATCAATCATCTTGGAACGTTTTGGCGGCAAAATTTACCCTAAAAAAGTTTTTACTAAAATTAGTTAATACGCCGACGTGGGCGACAACCGAGGCTAGTTGAACATTTGTTGCTATACAAGGTGCGTCAATTATGAATTTTTAAACAGGTTAGATATCTTTTCGGTGGATTATGTTAACGTTTTTGTCATACTATGTACGTCTGCTAGGTTTTATCCTATTCCGGTGATAACAGTCGAAAAAATAACAAACAACATATCTGAAAATATGACATCTTGATTGTAAAAGTTTATCAGATGTTCTTAGACATGTCGCTGAACAATTTTAATGATATTCTACCTTAGTACGAAAACAGAGAACATACTTATTAAAAAAATATGTCTCTCTTAATTTATAATTCCAATTTTGAAATAATGAATATGTAACAAATGACTGAAGGAACTGTAAGAAATAACTGTATGCATAAACTTCTCTATGAGTAATATCAAGTGATTACTTTATTTATATATGTTGTATCCTGGACGAATATGGTTTTCCTTCCTGTGCCATAGATAACAGAAATATTCTAATAAGGTCACTCTGAAGAACATTTGCATTGTGCAAAAAATATAACGTTCGATTTTACACATATTTTTAAAGTTTCCGTGGCAAAATTTTAATAGGACACAAACATTGACTCAAGATTACGGAAGATTAAAATTTATTCGCTCATCCGCCCCAGATAGCTGATGACATCATTTCAAAAAACCAATTAAAATAAATCTGTGAATCCACGAAAAAGTTGACGGCATCGTTCCAAAAATGATTAAGTAAGTCTTCATATGTACGCGCTGTTTATCGAGCGTCAGAAGCGGAAATTCGGTGCAGATTTTTTTGTGTCGAAATAAGTTTATAATTTGTCGTTTATTTTCGGGAAGGCTATTAATATTTATAAATATGATGTCCAAACGTTTTTATGAAACGCCTCAGCGTGGGTGCGCATGCATGAAGAGATCCTGTTTGAATGAGGCAAGTAATTCGACAAAGTATATCCAGGACGCACAATCAGTGAAAAGTGAGAATTTCAGTCTTTGACAGTTCAACTTCCGCTGTAGGGCGACGTCTATATAAACCAACTTCCGGTTTATTCACGGTGCATCCTCTTTTGAAGCTGACTCATCGAAAACCTGCATTAATTCCTCCACCATGCAATCTCCGGTGATTAAAGGATTTAACGCATTCGTTATCAACAAAGTATTAAAACGTTTCTTACTAACATCCGTTGAAATAAACCTTTACGCGATAAGCGGCGATAAGGCAAGGACGGCTGTGCGCTTCAGATACTGAGACGCGATAACTCAAGTAGGACAGACAACTAATTGGTAAAAGAACCGGAAACGGTGCAAAAAACAGATCTTCAGCTTCACGCATTAAAAATGACGGCCGTGGACCGGCGGGGGGCGGCGTGGGGGGCCTCGGTCGGATTCCAGCAGCCGCGGGGCGAGCACTTCCGGTGGAGGGGACCACGCCGTGGGAACGACAACGACATATCGCCATCGTATCCTGCTTGCAGCCTGCTTCTCTTGCTGCTACTCCTCCTTATTCTCTTCTTCCTCTGACGCGACCATTTGAAGCCGATAGGGCTATCGGCACGGGGAATTCGGAATTCAGGCCCGCTGCTGGAGGGGCCGGGACGGGCAATGCCCGCTCTGGAAAAAATAATACAGTTTTCATAATGGTTACAGATTTTTTTTAGATCAACAATTTTCTCTAATAAACGTCACGTAAAATCACAAGAATTAACCAAAGAAAGTAGATCAAAAACAAAATAAATTGTAAAATCCATGACAGAATTCTGTTGTCCCAACAATAAAATTTACTACAGCGACACAATTAATACTCCTACATTTACCAGGTAAATGTACTTTAAAATACTTAGAAAAATTATACTTTCTTCAATGCATTAAAAAAATATACGTCTTGTATAACTTGAAACAGTGAAATAAATCATCCTACACGTGTAAGTTAGTGGGAGTCCTTCTGTTTTTGTGTCTCTAACGGTATATTGAAGAATTTAGTATTCTGACTCAACCTGTATATATGTGTACTAAATTCCACAAGAGCACTGCAGATATTTGTGTAAAATTTTAATGAGCCAAAATAAAAAAGAAGTTAAAAAATGCTACAAAAAAGAATAAAAACTTGACAAAATTGTTATTGCATTAAAAATAAAGATGATGCGGTTAATATCTATGTAAGGTCAGGTCAAGTCAGGTCAGTTCAGCTCAACTCAGGTCGAGTCGGGTTAGGTCAGGTTAAGTCAAGTCTGGTTAGGTCAGAAAACTCATAATTTTAAATTATGATTGTTAAATTTACTATTCAAAAAGTTTATGGACATTAAGCATCCTATACCATTTTTACTTCTCGAGCGTAAGTTAAGGAAGTATGGTAATCGAGTCCATCGGACGAATGGCTTGCTTCAAATTTTTTCAATGGGTCATAACCCTTAGAGGGTACGAAAAAATGGGTCTCCCGTTTCCGTCTGTCTGTCTGTCAGTCAGTCTATCCGCCGTCCGTGACGATTTTTGTTAGACAGATAATCTCCGAAACTGCTGGAGCTACCCTAATACTACACGTGCAGTTTATGAATCCGTTTTTACCTGGAACGTCCAGATTTTTTGGAAAAGAGATAAAAAATATAGATTACATTTTGCAATTTAATTTTGAATCTGCACAACCGAATGCTTAGAAATCTTGCAGATGTTTTAAAGTTATCATAAGCATAGTCAATTTTTAATCAAAAAATTGATGACGTCACCACAAAATTTTGCCGAATAAATCCTAAATGTGCAAAATATGATGAGTCTATTCTTGGGATCTATTATTCCATTAATATTGTTCTAAATTTGCTTATACAAGTGGTTCAAAAAAATTAATGTATGCATGAGTTATAATAATTTATTTTATTGAATAAATTAGGAACTGCAAAACCGAACGCTTTGAAATCTTGCAGACGTTTTATAGTTATTGTAAGCATTGTAAATTGTTAATCAAAATATATCTCTTTATTCCCTTCCAAAAATAATGACGTCATCTAAAAATTTTGCCGAATAAATTCTACATAAAATGTGGAAAATATGATGAGTTTTCACTTGTAATTTATCATTACATTTAATGAATGAGTAATTTTATTTTATAGATTAAATAAGGAACGGCTGACTACATTTTCCCAGAAAATTTAGGAATACTGTTATTACATATTGGTATTACACTGCACCAGTCCAAGTTAATATAGGTGTTTTTGCAAAAATGTTGATGACGCCATTGCAAAATTTTGTGTAGTAAAAAACTCATTTGAGACACACGCCTAGCACGCTTCTTTACATTTACTTTAACAATATTTACATATGTTTATTTTAACATAAATAAGGGTTCTCACAGAAAAATAAAATTCACAAAATCAAATTTCATTGTTTTTCGAAAATGCTGGATGTGTTTCATTGTACTTCAGGAAGTGCGGTCGAAACAACCTTCGGCCAGTTTTTTGTAAATTTTTATTTGAATTATCTTGTTTAATAAGTAATATGCTACACATAGTGAAGATATCAAACATCTCGTTGAAACCAAATTTAATGAGATATTGCATAACGCACAATAATAAGGCCAAAAGTGTTGTCCAAGTCCAAAAATTGAAGTACTGTCATCCACTATAACATTTTTTAACGCCAAATTTGTGGAAAATATTTGTAAGGTTATATATTTCAGTAAGCGTCTTTACTCTAGGAGTTACTGTCAAGTATCATAGGAGCATAACATTATAGTAGAGTCCGGGAAATAGGAAACACTGACTTTCTGTTGCCAAAAGGGTTTATTGGAAGCCCTTAATAAACTGCTGAGGATTACGTCTTTCAGGTATTATTTCTAAATATCGCGAAGATCTTACAATTATTTATTTTCAAGTGATCTATCATTGTAATATAATGAACGAAATTACTTTTTTTGTGTTTAGAATGTTATAAATATTCTTAAACACAATGCATTTAATAGCCGAAAATGTGTTCACGAGGATTACTATAAACCTAAAGGGTTTACTGGGGGCTTCCGACAAATATTTTTGGAAACAAGTCAATGTTCACTATTTTCCGAACTCTATTTTACATATAACACCAGAATGGTACCAATTTAATGAACTTTATCTTTAAATCAGTTTTAATATAAATTGAAACAGTTATAAATTATTTCTGTGAAGAATATACTAAAATTTTGGAGTTGTTGATGGTTCAGTAATGACGTCATCGATAATTTTTTAAATGACAGTTTTTACGTACTGAGTGATTTAATGAACGCCCAGAGGCACATCGAGAGCTTAATCTAAACAGTTTTGCCAACTTTGTACAAAAAAATGCCAATTAATAGGATAAACACATATTTGGTGAAGATGTTTTCAATAGTCTACACATGATTTGTAAAAATTTTGAAGCTTTCGTCATTACATTTAAGTGTCAAAACAGAATGACATATGTGACGTATAAGTGACACTAGTGTTAACCTAAATTTTTACCAACATAGAGAAGCGTCATAGTGTAAATCAAATGACGATTGAGGACTCCTCAATTTATGTTATGTTAGGAATAAAAGTAATTCGAAGAAATGTCATAATATTTTTAACGACGCGTTGTATTTTCGACAAATTGACACTAGATTTACCAGAATATTACAAGCTGCTTACTATTTCCTTCACTTTCATTCAGGTCGTACGAATTACAATTATAGTGAAACAAGGTTTTTATTGGCATCGACTTTTTAAATTTGGCGCTTGCCTTTGGCGGTTGAGGACTCCAATGTCAATAAGGGTGGTTTTGCAAAAGCAGCCTCCATGTCGCATCTATATTAATCTATGTTTTTACTTTAAATTGTGGCTAAACCCACGTCTGTGCATAGCTTATATATAAAATATAGGAATCTCCTGAAAATATTGACGCAAATGACGTTTCCTTGTCAATAAGTTTTGTATTAATTATGTTACATGCTGTGGATTTTTTGTTGTCGTTGTTTTAGTATAGCCCATGCTATTTAAAACGTTGTCTAATTTAATTAAATCAGTAAAATTTGTCCGAACTGCGGGGCATTTCTAATCCGTGACCGAACTGTGGTGCAAAATTTTGTAAATACCTGATACCTTATAATCCCTAACCGAACTGCGGTAAAAATTTTAATTAGGGGTTAAACTGGCTTGCTTTAATCGGGTAGTGAAATGATGGACAAGTATTTAATACCCAAAATCCTCAATCAAGAAGTTAATAAAAATTTATAAATAACATGAACAATTGAACACTGTATCTATTTTCAAATTTAGTGTCGCTAAATCCACTTTGTTTACTTTTCTATTCTGTTATGTATGTAAAATGAACCACTGATCACATAGATTTTCAAAAATTGAAGTGATTGTAAGATAAATATCATACGACACTAGCAAATTTGTAGCTGACACATTTCACAAAATTATATCCAAACATTTTATTTTTATATTGGACAATTTTAGATTCTATGAACATATTTGTTTTTATGTAACAATTTTTCTTTATTCTTTGAGTTTAAAAATGATTTGGTTTTCCTTAAGATTTAAATTTATAACACTAAATGACATTTCTATTCTTCTTCGAATTCATTCAGTTGCGTTAAGAAAAATGCCAAAACCCTTTGAACCCCCTACAGTTCGAGAATGAGCCCCAATTCGGTCAGAAATATCCATGTATCTAACGACCTGACATTTGAGCAAACTTTGCACCCCAATTCGGATACGACCGTTTCATGTTAGAAGTCATGAAAAGCACGAAAAAATAAGTCTTCCATTTTCGTCTGTGCGTCTGTCTGTCTGTCTGTCGACCGTCCATCTGTCTGTACCTGTTGCTTATGAGTCCGCCTTGAGATTTTCCTCAAGGCATCCAAATTTTCGCAAAAAAATCGAAATTGTACGGCAACAGTTTATATTAGTATAAGCGGAGTTCCTACAAAGTTATACTTGAGTTTATCGCATACCGTCTTCCCTTTCAGGCTTGTAACTCGAAATCAGCGCACATTCCAATATGGTATGGGTTTTTAGTTTCTTATACTGTTACTGCTAATATCTATACTTTTTATTGATCAAATTTCAAGAACGGTACACCCTAGTGCTTTGTTATTAGTATTACACTGCACGTGTTGGAATTGACATATGTGCTTGCTGAAATAATGTTGATGGGAACATTTTCAAATGGAAAGACTCGACAGAAATACAGGTAGTGGCCGAGTATGGGTGATTAAAGTATGAGATATTACCGAATTTATAAAAACCAGCTCTACAAAAATTCTAATTCAAATATATGGTATCATTATTTTTTTTAAGTTTTCAAAGAAACTGAATTCGTTGAGCTGTATTTCAAAAGCGAGGGAAGTACTGTCGAAATAACCTCCTACCAGTTTCTTTATTGTTGTTATTCGTGTTACATTGTACGTATCAAAATGTATACATTACTCCCCATTAAAAACGTAGAACATTCGTTCGTTAACCTGTAACTTAATCATCTCCTAGTACTTTTAGCGTTATTTAAGCAAAACCTTAAACACAAATTACCGATTTTTCTCAAAGTTGGAAACAATGCACTTACGAATAGTGTTACATTGTACAAAATATATCATAATTAATATATCGCTTTCGGTCAAAGTTACT